AATGTGTATTAATTACTGTCTAATTTTAATTTTTTAAATATAATTTTTATATAATTTATATATAAAATTAAATGAGTATATTTCTTCACAAATTTTAATAAAAAAAAATAAATTTTTAAATAATATATAAAATTGTATAAAAATATTATATAAAAAATTATCTCTTAATCTTTTTCTTTATTATTATTTTTCACAATAAGTCGGCAAATCCAATTGATTTTGTCCTTCTTATCTTCAAAGATTCTCCACCAAAATATTTTTTTTCCATGTCCAAAATCGTACAAAAACAGACAAGAAAAGTTGAGAGAGAAAATTCCAAAATCTCACTTAGCAAATCCTTGTCCTTATTTCTTTTCCCAACAGCACTTTCTCTACCACCTACATCACAATAAACAAAAATAGAAGCAATCGTTTTTTCTTCTGGTAATGAACGAAGATAGAAAACAGGAAGTCGAGAAAGGGGCATGAGAAACTAGGATTAATTGGCACAGTAACATGATGCATTTGAGTGTTGATTGTTACATTTCAGTGGTATGTAGATCAAAACCTGCTGGCATGACTAAATTTGGTATTAACGATATAGTGCAAATGCATAGGCCCAATTCGTAAAAGTTTTTTTTTTTTTTTTTCCCTTCATATCTTCTTAATTTTTGGTTTAATTTAGTGAATTTCCTTTGAATCTTCTAGTAGTAACTTGAGTAACAAGATTGGCTAACCTTGTTTGTCAGTGTTATACCGTGACTATAATTATTATTATTATTTTTTGTCTTCTACTATTTTAAAGCTTAGGATAAAATTTCAATATGTAAATTGATTTGGGATACAAGTTGGTAACGAAAACCCATAAAAAAGATTCTTCCATAGTAGCATGCCTAGCCGACCACGGCCCATCTATAATTTTTGGATTTTTAGCCTACTTTGACGACCTTTCCCCATGTACTCTTAATAAATCAGTAAAGATATGTATGGCACAAATATAATGTTGTTGTCTTTTTGCTTTGCTAAAGAACATGCATCTTTTAATTTGGACCATGCTAAAGAGCATGCCTAATCCTAGTTTATTTATTTATTTTTTTTCCTAGGCTGCATCTTTTGTCCTGTTGTAACATTATACATGTCCTAACATTATTCATGCATAGGATGGTCCAAAATTGAACCAGAACAAGAAAAATATTTTATGCTCCTTTCCCACCGTCGTTATTTCAATGATATTATCACAGCTGGCAGCCGATCTCCCAAGGAAGGTATATTGAAATCGATCATGGCCCCAAAAGAACAGAAACCACCACAGTCCCACACGGGCAATAGATCGAACAAGTGGCGTGCATAACAAGAAGAGACTCTAATCATCTAGAAATCTCAGTTAATTTCGTTCTTAATAACCAGTGTCAGAAACCCATTTGTGATTTAAATTTAATTAATCAATAATTAACTTTAATCAAGCTAAGTAAGCAGTGCCTAACAGCTCTAGAAGGAAAAGTGAATTTCATTTTTGTGCTTTGTGGAATCTCCTTTGGTTGCATATTCCGTTGTATTATCCTTATGGCTAAGCCAGATTAAAGTGAGACCATTAAATTAAGAATTTTTTGGTAACAGGAAATTAAAGGTACCTAAATTGGCATGTGATGTTGTAAGGCATGTAAAGGGGCAACTCTTCTGTGCTAAATTGTGCTTAACCAATAGTTTTAGATAAAGAAAATAATTGATATACTCTTTGATTTAACATACTTTTTGATATTTGCTCAATTTAATTATTAAAATATAATATAAATATAATCAATTTAATCAATGTTTACATTATGTATATATAACTACGTATTTAAGTTCATCTATTTTTAATTTTAAATAAAATAATAATAATTTTTTAATAAATATATTATGCAGTGAGTTGAAATAAAATATATACTAACTAGTGTCCTTTAAGTAAAGAGGGAGAAAAGGGGTCCATGGGTTTTCTGATATTGGCATCTTGTGGCATTTTACAAGTTATTCTTTGGAAAAGGATCAACCCTATGTTTCTAAGCTTTAGGTTACAGAAAATCTTTTAATACTGTTTTCTTTTTGGGTATGATCTTTTTGAGGGTGTGTTGGACACCAAAAACCCCACCAAGGAATTTCTTTTTCCAAATCCTCAAAATACTTTTTGAAGTTTCATAAGATGTGTTCCTGTCTGCCATCATGCATTTTGGTGGGAGAAAATGCAAGCTTCCACCGGAGCCTCAAGCAAAAGCAAAGAGCACAAATTAAGGAGAAGGGAAAAAAAAAAAACTTGCAGTAATAATATTCCTCCACCTATGACAAAGTTAACAAATGTACTTTAAAGAAAAAGCTTCATATACTTTTATGATGCCCTTGTCGGCCATGATTTCGTCACTAAAAGGAAAATTTCTTTGTTTTTTGCCATTTCAAATTAATACTTTCCGATCATTTGAAGTAAGACACATCTAAACCCAACCATGAATTTAATATACTCTTGCTTTTTGACTAACTTATCTCCACACCATGACTTTCAGTCTCCACTATATTTAATTTGCTTGATATAACCTTGCTCTAAAACTAATCTTAGCCAAAAAGCTGAGAGAAAGGTAGCTCTAAACCTTAACATTAGCTTTAGCTCTTACACGTAGTAGATTCTTTTAATTTTTCTACAAAGCATGTTCACTAAAGTTGTTAAATTTTAAGGGTTTGGGATTGAAAGGTGAAACTTTAATTTTGAATTTTAAGACAAGTAAGAAGAGATTTG